AACAAGAAACACCGGCTTTTTTTTTTTTTTTGTACTGGGAATCAAACTGGGGACCTTGTGCTTGCTAGGCAGGCACTTGTGCCGCTGAGCTGACTCCCCGGCCCCCAGCTTTTATTTCTATTCAGCCTCATACTGGATATTACACTCAGTGCAACAGGGAAAGAAGCCAGCCGTGGTGGCACACACCTGTAATCCTAATACACACACACACACACACACACACACACACACACACCAGAAAGAGAATAAATAAGACAGACTGGAAAGAAAAACATTAAGCTGCCTCAATGCATAGATTATGTGATTATGCAGCAAATACCAATGAATCTACAAAAAAGCATCCCTAACTAGTAAGTGAATTTAGTAAATTTCTATAGAGTAACTACAGCTCTAGAAATCTTAAAAATTTTAAGTATCCTTTATAATTTCAATACAAGCATAAAATAAGTATAAATCTAATAAGGTATGTGCAGATCTGTATGTTGAAACTAACACCAATGGAAGAAATCAAAGACCTAAATAAATGGAGGGATAGCTTCATAGAGTACAAAATACTGTGTTTTTTTTGGTTTTGTTTCATATTTTCCTTTTCTTTTCCTTTCTTTCTTTCTTTTTGTGTGTGTGCATGTGTGTGTGTGTGTGTGTGTGTGTGTGTGTGTGTGTGTCTTTTTGAGACAGGTTCTCACTATGCAGTTCAGGCTGGCCTTGAGCTCACTTTGTAGCCCAGGCTGGTCTTGAACTCACAGAGATCCTCCTGCCTCAGCCTCCCAAGTACTGGGATTACAAGCACACACCACCACACTTGGCCAAACATACCATATTTTAAAAATATCAATTCTCTCCTAAGTTAACAGATTCAACTCAGTCAGAATCCCAGCGTGATTTTTTTTTTTTTGGTAGACTTTGACAAACTGACTAACGTTTTTATGGAAAGGCAAAAGATTTTATGGAAAGCCAAAACAAATTTGAACAATAAGAACAAGTTAGAAAGACTCACTACTACCTGATTTCAAGATTTGCTGTTAGCTGCAGTCATCAAGATAATGTAGTGTTGGTAAAGGACAAACTTACAGATCAACAAAATAGAATACAAAATCCAAAAACAGATCAACAGGAATATGGTCAATGGATTTTTCAAAAAGGTGTGAAGCAATTTAATAGAAAAAAGGGGATCTTTTCAACAGATCATTTTGGAACTACTGAACATCGATCCATATGCAAAAAAACAAAAAACAAAAAAACATATAGTGTTCAAAATTATATCATAGTAGGCCACAGAGCTAAATATAACCTATAATTGTAGGAGAAAATTCTTTGTGAATTTGGGTGTACCATACAGTTTAGATAAAACATCAAAAGCATAATTTGCCAATGAGAAAACTGACAAACTGAACTTCATCAGAATTAAAAACTACTTTGTGAAAGACACTGTTAAGATAAAAAACAGAAGCCGGGCAGTGGTGCACACTTGTAATCCCAGCACTTGGGAGGCTGAGGCAAGAGGACTGGCACGAGTTCAAGGCCATCCTGGGCTACGTAGTGAGACCCTGTCTCAAAACAAAGGAGAAAATTTTTCAGATCACATATCTGGTAACTACTAAAGCTCAACAAGAAAACCCAATTTTTAAAATAGGCAAAAGATTCTGTATCACTAACAAAGATACAACAAATGCAAGTAAGCACACAAAAAAATGTTCAACATAGGTAGTCATAAGGTAAAAGTAAATTAAAATCAAATTGAGATACCACTGCCCTCCTATTAGGCTGAAATAAAAACCAAAAAAGAATAACACTAAATGCAGAATGATACTGCCACTGGAAAAGTGTCTGTCTACCTCTTAGGAAGTTAAACATATACTTTCCATATGACAGAGCAATCCCACTAAGTATTCATGCAAGAGAAGTAAAACTCATTCATATAAGAACCTGCACCTAAGTGTCCATAGTAACTCCACTCAGAATCACCGAAACTGGAGACGACCCACGTCTTCCAACTGGCAAAGGAGCAAACAAACGTGGTTCATCCAGACAACGAAATGCTACTCAGAAATAAAAAGGCACAAGCTACCGATACAAAGAATAGTATGGTGACCTTCACATACATTCTGCTAAGTACTGAAAGGCTCCACGGTCCCATTCACATGACATTCTGGAAAGGCAAAACTGTAACAGTGGAGAAGAGGTTTGGTTGCCAGGGCTTGGAAGTGAAGGAAAGATCCTTTTGTCACAACTATGAAAGAACAGCGTGAGGGAATACGTGTGTGTGTGTGTGTGTGTGTGTCAGCTGAACTGAGTAAGCTGCTGGGTGTGGTAAGCTGCTGGGTGTGGGAGGCCCACCTGGGGATTGTTGCTGGCAGCATACAAGGCACAACCGGAGAAGAGAGGCTGCTGGGAGCTGAATTAGGCTGTTGGGAGCTGGTGGAAGCTGTAAGAGGCTGTTCGTTGTTTTGGAGGAGCTTCTCATGCTGGCTTTCCTGATGAACTCGGCTGTTTTCATCCTCCGGGGAGCTCGGGACCTTGCTGGTACTGGGAATGGCTTTGGTTCGTTTTGGGGGAGCTCCGGTCTTCACTGAGCATCGCTTCCTGGCTCTGGAGGGGAAGACGGTGCACTGCCAGCCTCCTGGAGAAGCTTGTCATGTTGGCTTTCCTGATCATCAGAGGAGCTCGGGACCTCTCTGTCACTGCGGACAGCTGTGGTACTTTTCAGGGAAGCTCTGGTCCTTACTTTGAGTGTTGCGTCCTGGCTCCAGTGCAGATCCCTCAGCCTGCTGGCACAGATCCTTCACCCCGCTGGCACAGGCTTCCTAGCTTCCACCACTGACCTTTGGGCCTTCCCAGCGCAGATCCGGGAAATAGACCTGCATGAGATATTGTTATGGGCGCTGGTCCTCCAGTTGGACTCATGGGAGACAATCATGAGCTCTAGGCCTTCAGCTGGACTCATGCAGGACACTGCCATGGGATCCAGGTCCTCAGCTAGATTCCTTGGTCTTAGTGTGTGGACAGATTTCCTGCACTCTCTTGTACATCATTCTTTGGGTGACTATTATAAATAATGTTATAAAATATGTGTCCTGTATTGTATTGTTTACCTTGCAAATAAGCCCCAAACCAACACATTCAATAGTAGAGCACCCTGGGCTCAATCTCCAATCCAAACAAACAAACATGAAATGATAGCTTAGAACTGCAAGCTAATCTATCATGAAAGGTGAAATACTAATATGCTTATTTTTAGACAAGCAGGTTTATTAAGAACTTCATAATCTGTTGTCAAATGAATCCACAAAATTATTTTGGGCCAAAACTCAGGAAAACGAAAAAGAATGGAATGCATCCTGATACACAGTAGCTAATCTGAACCTCAGAACTATACCCAGAATGTGGTACATGAATCATACTCCATATTAACCCACACACACTTCAAATTATACCTGAAGCTAAACTTGTCTAATAAGAAGCACAGACATCTTGTTAAAAATACATATTGTCAGGTTCCGTCCTTGTAGACTCTGACTCCGTAGTCTAGGTTAGAGGCCAAGAAACTTTGTTTGTAAAAGGCACCGCCCCCAAGGAATTTTCACTATCCGACAAGTGTGGAAAATAACTGCCACCCTTAATCCTTCCTCAGTTTCAAAGCCAAGTGAAAACATTTTGAATTGTCTATTCAAGCATGTTTTAAATCTTTTCTTTTTGTTTTTTTTTCAGGTACCGGGAATTGAACTCACGACATTGCGCTTGCCAGGCAGGCGCTGTGCCGCTGAGCTAGATCCCCAGCCTCAAGCTAGACCCCAGCCCCTGTTTTAAATATTTTCAAGGACACAAGGATAGTGATTTCTACAGTAGAATAATCACATCCCAGAAAAATTCAAGCGGATCCACAGGAATATGAGAACAAATACTGATCTCCGATATAAATCTCAGCCTTCAGTTTTTCTGTTTTAGGAGGGCGTCTTGTAACATACACAGCGAGGGCTAAGAATAGAGCTCAGTGGCACGAGCACCTGCCTGGCAAGTGCAAGGTCCTGAGTACGATTCCTGGGACCATAAAAAAGACAGGATTTATTTAAAAAAAAACAAAACCATACATAGTCAATCAGTGCAATAGTGATATAAATCATTTTTCTCCATGGTAGGGTGTATGACCAGAAAAAGGAGAAACTACTGCGTCAGGGCTCCTGACTTACAATCGCTTCTTCTAACGCTAACCAATTCTTGGTCCCCATCCACATGTAACATCTGCCACTGCTGCGCCCACAAAATACCACTGTGCCCACTTTCATACTCCAGGAATAAGAGCACCATCACTGTGGATAAAGAATGTGCTTCTTTTCCTTTACCAAGGTCGCAAGAAATCTGTAAGGTGCCTGCCCTTCATATTGTTCTGAAAGCCTAGCAGACACTGGCCTTTGAGGAAACGGCTCCCTGACTTAACAGCTGTGGCTTCAGTCCCTCACAGGTAACTAACTGTACGGTTTCATGATACTCAGTAACCGGCTTTGCTAAGTCACACATGTGAATCGAGCACACTTTCAAGTTGACGTGAAATCACTGAGGTGGTGAGTGAGCCCAGCTGGCCGCCGAGCACTTACCCTCTCACAGGTGCTGTCCTGTCCAGCAGTGTAAGAGTCAGGGAAGGCCTCTTTAGTCTTGTAATTGTTCTCGCCAACTGGCTCCTCACCAATTATTTACAAAGACTACTGCAAAGGGTCCCTAGTCCAAATGTGCACATTTATATATTCTTAGTCAAAAAACACGAAAGCTACGACCTCTACCATGTGGGATGTGGGGGGTTAAGTGGGCATTAAAAGAGAACTGCTATACTTAAGATGACAGGAACTTACTTGTTATTACAGATAAGTAGTAAGTGGTGTGGGTACTCAGTTCCCAAACTGCTAAGGACGCGCTCAGTGTCAAAAGTGTCAGAGACAATACCAGGAAAGCTACGTTTGCCCGACAACCCTCCAGTAAGGTATTCAAGAAACGCTCTTCTCTCTCACCCTCCAGAATATCTTCATAAAGTGCATGTACTCCCTCAGGCACGATGACCGCCAGCGCAGTGCCACAGAGCAGGCCAGCGCCCAAAACAGTCACCAGCTTCAGGCGCTCCTGGAAAGAAAACAAAACAAGCACTGAAAAGGCTGATTAATGAACAGCGAGCAGTGTCTGACGGGCCTATGACCAAGACAGTGAGGTCCGTATCTGTACTCAACAGCCGCCACGGCTAGCAAACACAAAAACGGCCAGCATCGTGAATAATGAACACCACATTTTAAAAAGCTGAGTAGCTGGGCTCAGGGCAGCACGCCTGTAGTGCCAGCTACTCACGAAGCTGAGGCAGAGTCTCCTTGAGCTCAGGGGTTCGAGGACAGCCTGGGCAACGCAGAAAGATCAAAGATTGTAATTTAAAAAAAGCAGCAGATTGGCAAGACTGGAGGAAAATGTGTCCTATCCATGAAAGGGAGACATGAATACACCTGCCCAACACCAGAAGGAACAGCTGACACCCCCACACCCCACCCCGTGCTGGCGGACCTAGGGCGTGCGTGCTGCAGCTCGCTTTTGTTATCACTGAGGACTCTACAGCGTTCAGCAGGGGCTGGGGACGTGGCTCAGTGGTAGAGTTCTCGCCTTGCACACCGAAGGCCCTGGGTTCGATCCCCAGCACCACAAAAACAAACAAACAATAAAATGTTCCGCATCCCCGAACTATCTGGACCACTATTTGGTGATTTAGACTTAAAGCCTCAAAATCGTAACTCCTTGCTCATGCTCTCTCCTCCCCTCTCTTCCCCTCGACCGTCTCCTACAGCCGCCCCGCCCCCAAAAGAAATTATGCGACTGAGAAATTTCAATTCTACAAATGCATCTTCAAGAATTTAGCAAAAATGACCACAGAATTTATGAAGCGTGCCAAGCTTAAGATAGCCTAAATGTTTAAGAAAAAAAAATAGCTAAATAAACTATAACACTTCACCACAGTACCATAGCACGCAGCCATGAAAACTTATGTACATTTTAATGCGTATTCATGGATACAGGAAGGCATGATGTACTGATATAAGCAAAAAGCTGGTGGCAAACAGTATGTATTAATAATGTAATATTTATAAAGAAGTACACATAAGAATAGAACATTAAACACAAATGTTTTACTTTATACTTTATAAACATAATATGCAATATATAATATATAATTTATGAAACATGTATAATTTATCTACAATGAGCATGTATTATTCATAGTATTAAAATGTACTTAAATCTCAATATGAAAACTGTTGTATGGCTTTAATCCCACCTAATCCCAATTGTGTTTTTATCTTGTGTTCTTTCAGAGACTGCCTCCTGTCAAACAAAGTTTGGGTTTTAAAGTTCCTGGAAGCAACACTGTACTCTAACATGGCTTCCTGGGATCTTAGAATTATGTAAGATGACCTTAAAAAGTACAGTGGGGATGATGGTATATAGCTGAGTTGGGGAACCACATTTAGCATGCATGAGGCCCTGGTTTAGCCCCACCTCACAAAACTACAAGGGTATAATTATATGCATTGCTTCTAAAAATACGAAAAATATAAAAAAAAAGTTTCATTCTTCCATTTCAGTTTCCTTGATGCTGGCAAAATAACAGGAGCTATATTATACCTGATACTGTACTGAACTCCCGACTGTGATGGTGGGGCCCAATCGGCCTCCATAAATACCGTCTGTATGAGAAACGATTGAAACTTTATGCCCTCCTTGTTTAGGGGCAGAGGTGAGGGCAGTGGTAGAGACCTACACCTCACCGTGTCTAACGGAAAACAGGAAACTGCGGCGGCAGTGTCAACACTGCCTATGGCAGAGTGGAATCCCCCTTCCTAGCACACAGCCCGAACGCCGCCCTCCCAGTCAAGCTGCCCTTAGCCACCGCGACACCGAGTGTCCGAATGAGGCTGGTGGCCGCACTGGCTGAGGAGACAGAGCTGAACCCGTGGTCGATCAGTTAACAACTCAGTAGTTCAACCTTCTTCTGTAAAATCAGCATTTCCACCCGAGGCAATGTAGGAAAGTGACTGACGCATTTTGGAAGGCAAACAGCAAATGTTGCTCCATCAGTATTAAATGCAATTCTTTGTCTTTTCTAAGTTACTAAATTCCCCCAAAACACTGCTGATCCACAGGGTTCATGTGAGACAAACTGTCAGAGCAGGAACATAAGCAAGACGCAAAAAGTCCTGTAGAGGTGACATGGCAACCCCTTCCCTCACTCTCCTAAGCAATTCGTAGAAGTTACCTTTTAAAAAAATTCATGAATGTAAAGTATCATTCCTAAAAAAGTATAGAAGCCAAGGTAAAACTAAGCTTGACTAGGCATACCATTTCCTTTTGGGGAATTGGTTTCTTAATGTCACGATTTTAATTAATGCACAAACTGCTAAGGAAAACTGCCCGGTCAGCGTTTTGACTCTGCAGTACCCAGGAAACAGGTATGAGACTCCGCGTGGCAAATGAAGGGAAGGCGGGAAGTGAGGAGAGAGATGCACCAAAAACAGTAAGAGCTGACTGCTTTCAGAACGACTGAGGTGGTAGCTCGCATCATGCACAAAAACTAATTGTTGACGCGTTATACCCCTAAATAAGATGTAAAACTCAAAAGCTACTGGAAGAAAACTAAGAGATATCTGCAGTTTTAAGATTGGCAAAGATTTCTCAGCAAGGATACGAAAAAAAAAACCACAAAAGAAAAAATTCAACATCAAATGTAAAATGTTTGCTCACTCATTAAGAAAATAGAGAAGGTACACTGTGGAAGAAAACTATTTATATGTGCCTGTATACCTATGTACATGTATATACCTATATATAGATATAGACATACACACACATACAAAAGTATGCACACACACACATATATACACACACACACATACATGTACACACAAAGACACACACGTCTGTGGTGAATGTTGTGGTGACGCTGCCCACTTTGGTGCCCTGCAGGTGGGAGACCCTGTTCCCTGGGCTGCTGCTAGGGGGGCTGTCTACTGAGGGCTCACCGCCCAGACCCTCCGAGGAGCTGACACGGCCCAAGGCAAGTGACTAACCTGAGGGTACCGCTTCCCTCAGGCGGTCAGCAGGGGTAACTAACCCCCCAGGGCTGTGCGGAAGGGGGAATGAAGCCTGTCCCCTCCCTGCCTCGAAATTCAGGATATGTGCAGGCCATTCAGCTTCAGCACCTGCTGGAAGGTGAGCTGGGGTCTCTAAACCCGCTTTCCCATCTGCTTTCCTCCTGCCCATTCTCTCCCAGGGGCTGTTCCCAGGAGCACGCCCCCACGCAGGCTCTCCTCAGAGTGGGTTCTGTGGGGAACCCAAGCTCAGGCACTGACAGAGGACCTGGGTTTGAACTATAAAGAACTTCTACCACTCAGTAACAAGAGACAAAAAGCCCAATAAAATATGGGTAAAGCACTAAACAGGCACCTCATGAAAGATATGAGAGTAGCCAGTAAACCCATGAAAAGGTGCCTAACAACACTCAGTCAAAAGAGAAGATGCAAATCTAAACGATGTGAGGCACTTTTTCACACCCACTTAAAATGGCCGAAGTTAGAAAATTTGACAACACTAATGACAAGGATACAGAGTAAGGGGAACTTTTACATGCTACCGACAGGATAAAATGCTGCAACTACTCTGGAAAACTGGCAGTCTCTCATTATTCATAGAGACGTTATCAATAATGGTCACAATCTTTATTATTATTATTGTATCATTATTACTTTAGAGATGCAGTCTTGCTACTGTGGTCCAGGCTGGCCTTGAACTTGTGATCCTCTTGCCTCAGCTTCCCAAGCACTGAGATCACTGGTGTGCACCACGACACCTGGCAATAATCACAATGTGGATCATATGTCCATCATTATAAAACAGTGGGTAAGCTGGACGTGGTGGCACACGCCTGTAAGCCTGTAATCCCAGCACTCAGGAGGCTGAGGCAGGAGGATCGTTGTGAGTTTGGGAGCAGCCTGGGCTACAAAGTGAGCTCAAAGCCAGCCTGAACTGCATAATGAGACCCTGTCTCAAAAAAAAAAAAAGATAAACAAACTGTGATATTCTTAAACAATAAATCCTCTTTCAGCAATAAAAAGGCATAACTATTGCTATTTACAACAACATGAATGAGTATCAAAAACATTTTCCTGATGTTTGAGTGAAAGACGCCTTGCATAAAACAAGTATATACACGCTCTTAGTCTATTTACATGAAAATGAAAAACAGGCCAAAGCGAAGTACTACAAATCAGGGAAGCGGTGCCCTGTGTGAGAAAACAGAGAGCATTACCAGGCCGCTGGGGGCAGCCAGAGCACTGCGCAAGGACCCAGGAGTGTGAACACCGCTGGCTGCACCGTGTAGTTATGACACGAAGCCGCTATTTCAAGTGGGAGGGGCCAGATCACTTTTTCAGGTGATGAAAATTCCCTAAATCTTGAGTGGTATGTGAATTACATTTGTATGTATTTCCTAAAAGTGACCAAATTATACTAGGATCTGTATCTTTCACTCCTTTATAAAAATTTTTTTCACTGGGGATTGAATTTAGGGCCTTCACACTGAATTACATCCTTTGTCTTCTTCTAATTTGTTTTGAGACAGGGTCTTGCCAACACTTTCAATTGCTCAGGCTGGGCTTGAACTTGCTATCCTCCTGCCTCAGCCTCCTAGTGCTGGAATTACAGGTGTGTGTTCTCATTTATCTTTTTAAACATGACCTGAGTAGTAACTTACTTACCCAGGGGCTCCAAAAGGACTCATTTTAGAACTAACTATTTAACAAAGTTTCTTTATGGTAGTTCTTTGAAACCAAGGTCAGAGATCTTTATAGAAATCTAAAAGACACTTCCAATAATTTTCCTTAAGCTATCTCATTCATCACTGAGATATTCCTTAAAAATAATTCACCACATTTTTATGTCAACTACTGTATGTATGGGGATCGGGCATGATGGCACACATTTGCAATCCCAGCTACTGAGGAAAATCAAAAATGTGAGGCAAGCCTGGGCGAGTTAGCAAGACCGTATCTGAAAAAATAAAGCGAAAAAGATTATTGTGGCCTTGTGTT